TCTTCCATTTGTGTTGAAAAATTTTAATGTATTTTGTATTTGGTTTGGAAATTTGTTTTAAATTTTTGGATCATTCATACAAGTACTTCCAACTTGACAAGAATCATAAGTAAATTCGAAAAACTTTAGTTTTGTGGTAACTCTACTCACACCCGCACTCTTACGGAATTACATACTTAAGAATGGTTTTTGTTTCATGTGAGAAGCGGAATAACAAAGGTTACATGTCAGCTTTACACGACTCTAGCTGCACTTTGTATTTTTCACTAATAATTACCGATTTTAGATAAAACAGTTTTCTAGTATCAATTATGTCAAAACATCAAGATGATTCAATTGAAACTATTCATCACAACGAGGTTGCTGATGACGAACAAGTAAATAATATTATATCGTTGAAAAACTATGTATTCAGTTGTTTATGATACTTTAGCTTATGGAAGAACATATGTTGTCACAAAGGATGAGTCAATTATCTGCAACCGCGACAAATGAAACGGAATTTATTGTCAAAGATATCAAAAATATAATAGAGAAAATTCCAAATTATTTAACGAAACAGAATAAATCATTTGAACAATTATTAGATCAAGCATTATCAACGCTGACATCAGAAACATTGAATTTTAAAAGAGATGAATTACGAAAAATTGCCATTCAAATCTATAAAACAATACTCATTCAAATATATCTACGTTTATGGACAGTTTATTTAAAATCAGGTATGGGGCAATTAATTAAACAATCTTCTCAACAACCGCTGATTTATCCAACTGATTTACGAATTTGGCCAAAAGAAATTAAAACCATTGTAAAATCAAGCAAGACGAATAAGACGAATGAAAACGATACTTGCATGTGTTTTGTCAAGGACTATATACATGAACTTAGTAAACAATTAAAACAATATCAAATTGAGTTAAATATCAATACAAACAACTGCAAATGTTATACACCAGTATTAGGAGAAATATTGGAAAAATATATTACAGAAAATCTATCTTCTTTAAATTTGGAAATTGATCATAAAATAGAAATTCTTCAGTATGATTATCAAATTCAAGCATTGAAAATAGAATATCTGCGCCAAAAACCAACTGCGACTCAAGTATGTTTCTTTTTATTTTTTTTTTGAGAAATAAATGATTCTTTCATGCCCCATTGTTTTAATCTACTCAAGGAATTAAAAATGAAACAACTTTATCATAGTAAGTATGAAGAAGAAACCGTACAACAGGAATTTGATTTTCTGCGAAAACAAATGGATTATTATAATTCACCCAGTCAAGGTTTTAAATATTCACCTATAGCTGAGTCAACATTAATTAATTCTATTGAAAATCCAACGATTAGAAAACAAATATTCGATCAATATAAAGAAATCGCCGAGCAAGTCAGAGCGCAATTGTTCGCTTTGTATTTGAAAACTGCTGAAGAACAAAAAGACGAATTTAAAAGAAAATATAATGCTGATATCAAGAAACTCTGGTCTGATCAACGTGGCCCTGTTGAGAATGAAAAGCTGTCTTCAATAATGTTGATCTTCTCAATGAACGTTGTAATAAAATTAGCGAACGAATTAAATCCATATATAAATTTAAAATTCAATCGATTCCTGCAACATAGAATTTATAATAATTCTCAATCAATAAAAGGCTTCTCTTCATTTGTTTACGTGTCAATCTTTTTTATCATCAGCTTATTCGCTATTCTTCATATAATGTTGTTGTTTTATTTTTCTCCATTTCAGATACATATTTAAATCTAGTTATCTAGGACTATTTCAACCATGGATGTCGACAATAGTCACATGGAAGTGGATCGTCAACTGCCAAATGAAGTACAAACAAGGAAAAAATGTCATGGAAATCGATGTGATCAACGTTTCAGAAGGAAATGTCGTGCACGTGGTATAAAACTGAAAAAAATTGAAAAATGAATTAAAAAGCGAAACCAAAGAAAGAAGAACAAAAACAAGACAAAATTAAGAAACGATACGACAACAAACGCAATCGATAATAATGTTGAAGCCACCACATCGAAGCATGTATCTATTCCGAAAAATAAACGATCATCAAAACAGAAAAAGTCAAAAATAAATAAAACAAAACGCAAACGAGAAGCATCATTACAACAATTAAATCTAAATTGTGGATTAACAAAATCTAAAAGTTCAATCTCTGTTTTTCAACCGCCAATGAAAAAGACGAAAAAGAAACAGGAAATGGCTGTTTCGCCCATGAAAGTCAACAAAAATACTGCAAACAGAAATTATCGGTTAATTTTTTTTTATCGATTTATATAACTCTATATATATATATGCTTTGTTTTTTGGATATATAGACGACCGCTCTATTTAAAACGATCATTGTCCATACTTATTCAAATGATAAGCAAACCATTAAATTATACCTTTAAGAAAGATGATGAACAACGATTTATATATAACCGACTTCATTTATTCGATGAAGACTATTGCCTACAAGTGAAGCAACAATTATGGCAATCATATCTAGATATTGGTAAACAGCATGGTCAATGGCCAGTAAGTTTCATAAAAAAACTCATTCCTATAGTATAATTGGTTTTTGATGAAAACTTAAAGGAGCAACTGCATATGATGGCAAAGACAAAGGATTTCCAATTATGTCAAGAGTATCTTAGGAAATATCTAACAAGTATTAAAAAGGAAATGGATGAATGTCAACGAAAGTTGACAGAACAGTCGGCATTATGGCTTAATAAAGAGTTATCATTGGATCAACTTGATCAGGATCTTAGAAAATTTGTGCATTATCAACGAAACTATTTACTAGGAAGAAACACGAAACAGTTGGAGAAATTCAAAGATGATATGTATGAAAAGGTTTTATTGGGAACTCTGTCTTCATGTAGTCTTAGAAGTGAACAGGTAATTGATATCCTTTCTTATTCAATCACTATATTTCTATATGAATTTATTTCTTTTTTTTATAAAGAGTGAATCTATTAATGGATTAATGGCAATACGAAAACAACAAGGAAGTGTATGGGAAGAACTTCTCATGCTAGAAATGCGTGTTTTGTGTAAATTTTTACCAGAAAATTTTGACCACTTAGAAGATTATATTGCTCCTATCAGTTATTCACCGTTGAACAATAACCCAAAATCAGTTCAAATCCGAAATTAACACTATAAAATTATACAAGAAGCGAAAGGTGAATGGTTAAATTGTTTTCTAAATGCCTGTGATGCTAAATTTAAAGAGTCTGATCAACAATATCGAAATAAAATTGGGAAATTAGAAACTCAATTACTAAACAATAGAATTGCCGATGGCTCATCTGTTGTCAAGAAAATTCATGATTACATGGCCTACCAAACAGATAAATTAAAACAAAGTATTCACAATAAAATATTATCTTTTCGAGGAATATTACTTCAAAATCATCGACGTATCTCCCCTAAAATAAAAAATATGATTGGTGTTTCTCCTGAACCATATCTTGATTTAACTGTTAAACCGTTCAATAAACGTCAATGGCTTTATCTCTCACTTGGTAAGAGAATGTTTTAAACAAATTCTAATCCATTCTCTTGTCCTTTTTTTTCTATTACTCTAGGGCCATCTTATATACGTTTAAATCAAAGTGCCATTCGTCCAAGAGATCAACAAGAGAGCACAGTCACAAAAGAACATAAAAATATTTATGATAAAATTGCACAGCGACTTAGCTCACACCCATACAATGTATCGTTAAAACCATTGATTCTCAAACAATATTCTAATCATCTTCTTGAATATCTTAATAATTCTTATTTTACTCCGTTATCGTATAAAGATCAATTTCGAGCGATAGAACAAGCAAAAACGACTGCATACATTCGAAAAATACTTAAAAAGCACAATCTTATACTTCGCATAACTGATAAGGGTCATAATTTTTATATTGGTTCAGAAACTGAATTTGAAAAAAAAGCACAAAAATTTTTCGAAGATACCAATGCCTTCAAGGAATTATCAGTTAATCCATTAAAAGAAATTCAAGATAAAGTCATTCAATCACTCAATCGACTACGTGAGAAGAAACTTATATTGGTATGGCAGTACAATAAAATGATGCCTGATCGAACAAAATCGGAATTAGCTCATCTATATTTCAATCCTAAAACACATAAGGTAAGATGGAAGTTTTTGTTTAATTGTTTTAAATCAAAGCTATGTTCTATTCTATCTATTGGAATTTACGAGGATATACCCGTCCGACCGATTGAAAATACAATTCATGCTCCAACAACAAATATTTCAAAATTTTTAAGTGAAATTATATCACCTATATTTGACAGCAAATGTGGATCCACAACGGTTATTGATGGCGTTTCTTTGATCAAAGAGCTTAACAAATACACACGAAAAGATCTCCTTAAACCATCGACGCTATTTTGTACACTGGACATTCGTAATTTATATACTATGTTACCTCAAGAAGAAGCATTAAATATCCTTGTTGAATTTCTTCGTGTACACGGATATGAGAAAGTCAAAGGAATACCTCTTGATACAATACGCCAATTAGCTTCGTTAGTATTACAGGAAAATGTTTTTGTCTATAATAAA